TAAACTCTAAATGAAATGGAAGATTGCTCCTCAAACAGTATGTGGTATTACATCAATGAGTTATAAAGGGATTTTTTTCATATGGGGGATCTGGAACCAAAAATAGAAAACCTAAGATAATTTTTCTTTTTCCTAGAAATGTCTTTTACCGAAGTACAGAACTTGGAAATAGTGATGCTCACTAATCTCTCAGGTCTGCCAAAATGTCTCCTATGAGTACTTAGTTATTATTATCACATGGTTGACAAGATAGTTGTCATCTTGGGAAGCAGGTATGAGGCAGTGATGATGCCACTTCTTTGGAGAAGTTTGCCATAATTTCCCAGGGTTGGGAGAGGTGACTTCTATTGAATTCCCTCAGAACCAGTGGGTCTATGCACTCTGTTCATGTTCCCCATAAAGTCTTTAAAGAGGACTTTAATCTCAATGAGTTCTGCACCCTATTTAGTGTCTGGTACATACTGAGTGCTAGCTGATCAATGTATTATGGATGAAGCCAATGAGTAGATAAAATTCTGAGTGACTCTGAGTGTGAGAAGAGGTTGGGTGGAGCCCAGGAAGCCACCTCAAGTTAGGCTCAAGGGCATCTGAAGACTGATCAAAGAGGAAAAGGGACCCAAGGGTAAGGAGAAATTTTGCAAAAATGTCATGATTTTGTTCATTGTCTAATAATAGTAATAATAATTATTATTATATATATATCCGGAATGATAGCAAGTGGTAGGGCATTTGCCTTGCATGCGGCCGGCCAGGTTGACCCAGGTTCAATTCCTCCGCCCTCTCAGAGAGCCTGGCAGGCTACTGGGAGTATCTCACCCACAGGGCAAAGCTTGGCAAGCTACCCCTGACGTATTCGATATGCCAAACACAGTAACAACAAGTCTCACAATGGAGATGTTACTGGGTCCACTTGAGCAAATCGATGAAAAATGGGAGGGCCAGTTTTCCATATTTTAATAAAATAAATTTTAATTGCAAAATGTTAAGTAGGGATCTATATTTTCCCGATAACTCATTGCTGTTCATTCTGTGATGCCCTTTGGTCCATGGCTCAACCTTTCCCAACATCTCATCGCCATTACTGCCTGTTTTTCTACTCTGTCCACTGTAATTTGAACTGTCTGGTTCCATGTACCAACTTGCACAGTGGAGCTGAGATAGCAGGTCTTGAAAGTGTCACTGTCTTTATTTCAAATTTCTCCTCACTGCTTAATACCTCTGAGACCCAGAGTGAGTCACTTTGCTTCTTTGAGTCTTTGACTCCTCATCTAACAAAACATTTTTTTTTAGCTTTGGTTTTCTTATCTTCAGTAAATATATCTTGTATGATCATTTTAAGGATTAAATGACAATGATAAAGCCCTCAGTACCACACTTGGTAGTTGGTAGGCACCCTTATAGGATCAGGTGGCACCACCCTTTCATCCCTGCCTCAGTCTGCTGGGACAACAGTGTCACTGCTCTTTATCATTTACCCCACATCTACTCATCCGTCGGGGCCTGGTGCAAACATCACTTTTGCCACAAAATATTTTCCCATTTAAAAGCAATCCTTCCTTCTCTTGTTTGTTATTTATTTTCTTTGAGGGGAGGAGGGCATATCCAGAAGTGCTCAGGGCTTACTCATGATCCTACATTATGGCTCACTTGGAGGATCAGATGGGATGCTGGGGATCAAACCCAGGCTGGCTTTGTGGAAGGCAAGAACCTTACTTGCTATACTATTGGTCTGGCCCAGGTCTGTCATCTTTTGAAATTTATGATACTTACCACTTTATTTTTGGTGACTCAGTGATTGCTGTATTTATTTCTTTTTTGGTTTGTATGTTTCAAATCTCCCACCTTTTAGTCTTGTGCTTCCCTAAAGAATCTAGCAAAATAATGAACTGTACTCTAGATGCTTAAAATAATGAACTGAATATGTGCAGGAAAATTCCCAAATGTTTAGGAAATCATTGCTTCATGCCAATCTGGGGTGGTACAAAAAAACCCATCTTTTCATCTGATCTATTTTAGGGGAAAATGGTCAAGCAAGATATCCCACTATGTAAAGAAAACTCCCTGGAAAATGGTAACACAGAGTAAACGGTCATGGTAAGAGAAATTACAACGAAAGCTTGCTCAGGGACTAGTGATGTTCCTAAAATTATAGACTTTTTTCTTCTAAGAATTATTTAGAAAAATACTTAAGTGAGAGTGTTATTTCCCAAAGGTTAGCTAAATCACTTATTGCCCCAACATGTTTCTTTCTTAAACTTCTTTTTAATTATACAACATGAAAGCGACATAAGTCACAGTTACTGTCATTATTTTTCAGTGAGAGGCGAGAGGCACCAGAATCTGAAAAAGTCATGCCTGAGTGTTGCCAGGTGTGAGGTCACTTACTGGCATGGCTTTGAGCATTCTAGATGGAATTCCAGAATTAGGTTTAGGCCAGGCTTCCCACGGCTCAACAGAGGTGGTTGCTAAAGGTGATTATCTGGAGAGTTCTTGTTTCAAAGTATCCTTGCTATGAGTACAGGGAGCACTAAATCTTTAGAAGATTTAACAAATCTTTTAGAGATTTCTAAATTTTAATTTAGTATAATGCCTTGATTTTAAAGCCTTTATTCACTATTGGTGAATGATACCTTTCAGCCTTCCCAAAGCAATCTTAGAAGTGGTTCTATGAAAGAATTTTCTGATCGACCAAAAAGTTTGGGAAATGCTACACACTAAATCCCTCTTTAAATTTAATATATGTTTTCAGTGTACACTAGCATATGGAAGGCGTCAACAAATCACATACCCAAGAAAGCAAATTCACTCAACTACAAGGTTTGTCACTCATTTAACCATGAAATCATTAGTGCTTTCTTTTATCCCCAGGTTGTTGTAAAATTCATAGTGACATCATTTAAGGTTAGCATTTCACAGAACACACTTTAAAAATATGCCACCTTTGCTACTGTTAACTACCACTAATGGGGCAAAATTTCAGATACGTATGGGACATAAAGGCATAAATATAGAGAGATGGGACAGTTATAGAAATTATTAAGAAATATCTGTGGGGACCCTTTATGACTCCCCAAGCACAGTTTTATTATTTTGCTAAGGGCGAGCCCATGTTTCTCATCACAGACATTATTTCAGTTTGATGCTTTGACTTTATTTTCTTGCCTAAAAAGCCCAGATGTTACCCAGTGGCATCCAGGAAGTTTTGTTTTTGCCTCTTCCTGTGGTCTTGAACTTTCTGGTGCAAAGAGGAAAGAGAAAGGGTGCACTCGGACCTTGTCATTTGCTTGGATGGGTGTGGGAGGGAGAAGAAAAGGCAGAGTAAGAGAGAGAAGGGGCGAATCAGGTGGCAGGACGCCAGAGACAGTCCTGGTGATAGGAATTTAGGGGCAGAGACGGGATGGAGTAGAGAGAGAGTGAAGGAACAGGGCAGGCCAGGCAGAAATTAAGAAACCCACCCATCCCTGCTATGAAAGCAAGGCTAGCCACCTGGGGGAGATGCCTAGAGGAGAGATCAAATGGCGAAGTCGCTTCCAAAATGATTCCCAAGGCTTTGGCTTCTCTCACCAATTATCCATGAAAATTAGAGTAGTCTGAAGACATGGACTTAAAATAGCAGCTGGGATAGGAGCCTTCCTTTAACACATGGGCTGTTCTTTCTATGCTCTGTCTGGCTGGCAGGGCACTTGTTTCTCTGGGTAACTTTCTGAATTTGTGCCTCTCACGGCCGAGGGTCTGCATTTTGCATGTTGTTGGCAGGGCTCTGGGTTACACAGGGCCCAGTTTGAGATCCTAGTCATGGTCTGCTGCTTCAGGAAAAATGACATAGTTAATTGAAAGCACTGGACAGCAGCAGAGAAGTTGTGCAAGGTATAGTGCAGAAGCCAGAGTGGGGGAGGGGCCAAGAAGGGGCTTCCTCTTACCAAGATGTTCAGCTTCTTGCATGCAAAGCAACTAGGAGCTCTTTGGCAAGCTAAGCAACTTAGAAATACTGGAAGCTGAAAACGAGATATGCAACACATTTGGGAGTTTCTCTCATGTTGAAGGATTAAAATGAGCTGGTTCCCCCTTCCAGGATACCTTTGATTTCCTGTTAATATCAGTGTAAAAATCATGTAACCTCTCTATCTTTTTATGACTTACAAATGCTGTTTATTCGTCAAATGTGGAGGTAGGTGTGTGTGGGGGGATGGTGTAGGTTGGTGTGGGCAACACTAATAGGGCAACTTCCTTTACATGAGTACAAATACTTCAAATTATACTATGGTGAACTTATTTAAGAAAGACCATCCAGACTGGGCAATGTTGTGTGTGCTCTCAAATAGTGCCTGGAATTTATTAGTGAACACATTTTATAATAAATCTCTCACAGTCCATATTGCCACAGGGAAAATGGTTAAAATAATATGCCAATCTAATAGAATATAAATGACAGTTTATGCAATTCACTGACTGGAATGGTGGCCCAGACTCTCTAGGATGCTCTTGGAAGGGTTAATAGGGACTGTGGGAATTAGGAGATGAACCCTTTGCATCAAAACAGAATAGCTCTTCAGCTGGTTCAAGATATAGAAACTTCTATAGATGGTTTGTTCTTTTGCATAAGTTAGATGATCTCCAGAACATACACCCTCCTCTGCAGTTGAGGATATACAAAAAGATTACTGGTTGACTGTATTTCTGTATGTTCCGAGCAATTAGAAGTAATGCGGACACAGTGGGTATGTACTGTTTATGCTGCTGACACCATTTCTCTGAGTGTGTTACACAGTCGAGGTGGTTTGGATCATTTGAATGGAATAACACAATTGCCCATGGCATTGCACGTCTCCAATTCCAAATAAACATGATGGCAAAAACTAGACCAAAATGCGGAAAGGATAAAATCACAATGTCACTGAGGTCATGCAAAGAAGGGAAAAAGAAATGTAAAATATGGGCAAGCAATAGACATCATAAATGAAAAAAAAAGCCAATGCATACAATTCTAAAATCATTCTTACCTTCTTCAGTCATTGTGTCATAATATTTTAGTTTTCCATATGATCCAAGTTCTACAACATCACAGTAAAAGACACAAAGATAAGGAACGAGCTGTAATGCAAGAACTTTGTTTTTACACATTCTTAATTAATCAGATTCAGAGTTACACTGTCAAATTCTGCAATCGTAACTATATAGAGATGTGCAAACATGGGCCATGTGGCAGACAGCTTTCACGGCCCATTTTCAGAAATCACTTAAAATATATTATTCCACTGGGGATAGGATGTGCCCTGCATTACAGAACAGGACACAGTTATTTTAACATCCGACGAAACAGAATACTTAGCAAAGATAACTTCACACCAGGTCGTACCAAGCTCCGTCATTTTTATAGAGGTGACACTCCAGGAGAAAGGACTGAACAAGGACAATGTTCGGGCCCAGTGAGGTTTGAGCTCTGTGATTCCTTGCAGTGACACTGCAGTCCCAGAAGTTCCTCCTGTAGCTCTTCTCCGACAGAACCACCTCTGAGACTTTAAGAAAGGGAACTTGGAAAAATCCAAAAGGAAATAACAGGCTCTAATATTCCGTTTCGCTTCTTATTGCATGTTTCAGACAGAAAACACCAAATACCATGGGTGCAAAATGTCACGATGGAATTGAGAAAGGTGCCAGTTTTCTGCTCCTAGCTCAAGGCACAGTTTGTTGCTGTGTCAATGGCAAGGGGCAGGGGTGGCCAGCAGTCCCCTTCTCTTGACTGTGATAGAAAACTCTAATAGAAAGGGAGCTTTTTCGAGTCAGTGGTGAGACTGGCCATTTGGGTTGAGGAAGAGAAGAGGTAGGGATGTACCATTTTAGTTTTTTAACTGAAGTTCTTAAATAGTCATCTATATTCTTGCTCATCTGAAAATTCCAGATCATTTTAAGCAATGCTATGTGAGGGTAAAAGTATTTCTTCCCTCTGGCCCAAACAAATCTCTCTTAATACACTTAAAAAAATTAGACTCTGGAGATAGTCCTGTGATTCTGCAGAATGTGACCATGGTCATTAACATGGGCAGCCTCCGGAAAGTCACACATGCATCATAGTAAGTGAAGCTTTTTGTGTGCAAGATAAGGTTTATCTGTGCAAAACAGGAGTACTTTTCTGTTTTATATTTTCCATGATATATTTTCTGTTTACTCTCTCAATTTTCCCCATGTATCTAACATTCTGCCCAAAGCTATTTTGACAGACCAATACAAAATTATACTTTGTATCAGGGAGAAAAATCACCTGATCTTTAGTTTTGCAAAAACCTGCCTATTCTGGAATTTCTGATATACATGACAAAGGATGCTAGTACTTTAATCAGACATTGAATTCTGAGTAAATAACATGAAAGGAAATTAGATGACTTCCAGAGATATTGCCTTTAGTGGAATATATAATTTTTTCTTGATATTTTAAGAACCATAATCTATTATATAAATGACATGACACAAGTTGTAATTCTCAAATGACTGAAAACATTCATAAATATTAAGTTTTTCTTCATATTGGTTTTATGCACTATAATATTATATGTGTGTCATTTTGCAATAAGTTGATGAATTATACAAGCCAATTTTTTTTGTAACCTCCACTCCTTCCCTGAGGAAAAGCAATAGAAGAATCAGCTGGCATTCCTTATTATTTGCTCAGAAAACAGAACGTGGGTGACTGTGTGTTTGCAAAGTTGGGCATAAACCACCCTGCACACAGTGAAGACACACCATTGCTTCCAAACACACATTTTTTTTCTAGAGAAATCCTCTCTGTGTTTGCACACCTGTTTTTTCATGATCCCATCCTAACTGCTGAACAGCTGCTTGTGACAGATGCGATTTTTTGGTACCTCATCCTTTGTGGAACTGGGTAATAAATGGAATCATATTCTTTAATGATCTCTTTCTTTCATAGCTGTTCATATCTGAAAAAGCTTGTGCATTCCTACTACTGAGGCAATCTAAATTGTTCCTTAGCTGTTTCTTTAGATAATAAATGGGACAAAGGGATGAGAACTGGAAGGAATATGCAAAAGAAAAGGACTTCTGAAAGTAGACGGGATAGAATAAGAGTGGTTAAAAACTGAATAATGACAGGTGCTATGACAACTTGAATATATGTAATATATACATATACAGGAACTATATATATATATACACACACATATATATATATATATATATGTATATTCTAGGGGGTGAGGTCCACTCTTTGACGCTGAGGCCTGACAAGGCCTTTAGAAAGGGATACATATTTTGGTTAACACTGACAGCGAGGAATGGTGAGATCAAATTCGAAGCATCCCAGGCCTGGGGGCACAGCACCTCCAGCTATCCTCTTTCCTGTAAAAGGCCTCAGGAGATGCAAAATATATGATCAAGACATGGTGACATGCAACCAAGACAATTGTGACATGCACACAGAAAACAGAACACATGACACATAGAGGTCACTGGTAGGCCCTTGGATGCCAATGGAAAGTCACTGTGTCGTGGGAGGATCTGAGAGGCATGACCAAAAACTCACCTGCATGTAGTCAAAGCTTCCAGTTAGCCCTCTCCCCACAGACAGTACCCCTGGATTAGGACTCAATAACACTAGGTTAGGACTAGAATGCCACTGGATCAGGACTCAATCTGGGCTTAATCTAAGTGAAGTTTCTTTGGGATAAGCGGGAAAAGCAGGGAGTTTCAGTGCTGTTTAAATACTATGTAGTATGCCCACGAAGTCAACTCAACTGGACAATGAACAGCCAGACTCAAGAATGCTGAATCTAGGAACTAGTGGAGGGTACCACTTGGTGCCTCTTCTTTGAAACATTTCCATAAGAATCCCTGAGCATCACCCTGTGTGGCACAAAACCAAAAACAAAACAAAAACAAAAAAAGAAAGAGCAAAATAAAAGAATCCCACATAGTCTGAGAAAGAAATTGCAAAACTTAGTGACTGGTACTTGAAATGGGCCAATTAGCCAATCAAGAATGCTGCCTATCATGGGGATTACATAGCTTTCATGTTCTTTTCATGGGTTTTTTTTTGTTGTTGTTCAACAGTTGGAGCCACATATATCTAAACTCCTAGATCTCAGGAAAAATTGACTCTTTTATCATCCCTCCAGCCACCCCCCCCTTACACATCCATCAGCAACATCACTGTTTGGTATGAAGGTATATGACAAAAATCAAAGGAAGGGGTTGTCTTGATCCTCAAGGAAGCTGTGAACAAGAACCAGTGTTTTGAGCTCTAATTTTCCTTCTTTGAAAAGAAGGATTTGGACACAGATTCCTCCTTCAACTTCTGCCGTTCTCAGTTCCATTTTTGAGCCCCTGACATTCTTGATATCTTTTCCAGAAAAATTTCTTAGTACTGGAGTAGAAAAAAAAATAAGAACAAAAAATTTCTTAAGAGAGAGTGAGAAGAGGAGGAGGAAGAGGAAGAGGAAGAAGAGGAGGAGGAGGAAGAAGAAGAAGAAGAAGAAGAAGAAGAAGAAGAAGAAGAAGAAGAAGAAGAAGAAGAAGAGGATGAGGAGGAGGAGGAGGAGGGAGAGGTGGAGGTGGAGGGGGAGGGAGAGGGGGAGGAGGAGGAGGAGAGGGAGGAGGAGGAGGAGGAGGGGTGATGGGAGGGAAATTCAGGACATGGGTGCTGGGAAATGTACACTGGTGGAGGATTGGGTGCTGGAGCACTGTATGAATGAAACCTAATCATGAATAGCTTTGTAAGGGTCTATATCACAGTGATTAATTACAAAAATCATAAAAAAATAAGTTTCTCAGCATTCCGGCCTCAAAATTCTGAGATATAAAATATTAAAAAAAAAACAGAAGCAAAGTGTCAGTTCATTTTATTGGGATAAAAAATAGAGTAGGGAAATTAATAAGCATAAACCTTTATTACTAAAATGTTAGCTATGAAGTAAATATTGAATAACTTGCTTATTTTTCTAAATCTGCATTACTTTTTGCATTATTATTTTTTAATTGAATCACCATGAAATAGTTACAAAGCTTTCATGATTGAGTTTCAGTTCTAGAATGATCGAATACCCATCCCTCCACCAGTGTACAATTTCTACCACCAATGTCCCCAGTATCCCTCCCATCATCCCACCCCACCCCCCAACCCCCCTTGCCTCAATGGCAGACAATTTCCTTTTTACTCTCTACTTTTGGGCATTATGGTTTGCAATACAGATACTGAGAGGCCATCATGTTTGGTCTTAGCATTATTTTGAACTCCCTAGGAAAACCTAAAGATTAAGGCTTCAGCAATATAGATAGTAGTTTCTTGGTAAAGTTACAAGAAATTTTACTTGGGTTACCTCTAATCTTGGAAGAACTGTTTTCAATAGTAAGTGAGAGTTAAGACATGGGGCTTGTGGCTGGAGAGATAGGCCAGTGGGTAGGGTGCTTATTTTGTATGCGGCCAACCTGGGTTTAATTTCTGGCATCCCATTGGTTTTCCATTTCCACTAGGAGTGAGCCTTGAGCACAGAGCAAAGAATGGGCTCTGAGCACAGTTGGGTGTGGCCCCCAAACAAAAAACAAGCAAAAAGATAAAAACAAAAGAACATGGACGTTGAAGTTAGGAGATAGGTTGGAACACAAGATCTGCCATTTAGGGGAGGAGGTTGGAACACGAGATCTACCACTTGGTAGCTATGTTACTTTGAGCAGTGTTACCTTTCTGAGACCTTGAGATTTTACACAGGTTTGTTCAAACAAATTCAATCTGTTTATAGGAGTTTTAAACAAGTGTTGGCTATTTTGCCATGTCAGGGTAAGACACTTAAAAAATATTTTCATCTACTCTCAGATCCATGGAGAATGTTAAAAATGTGGAGATATGTGAGAAGGATGGGGAAGGTAGATATTTCTTTGTCCTCCTTGGGATTTGGTCACCTTCTCTTCTATTATTTGCATAGAATGCCTGTCTCTCCAACTATAGTAATAGCAGAGATCCTATCTACTCTTTAGAATTTCTTCCAACAGAATCTAGAATATAGCTTTTCTTGTACAGATATAGTTGCATAGAGACAAGAGG